ATCATCATCATCATCATCATCATCATCATCATCATCATCATCATCATCATCATCCCCCACTGCCTCAATGTCAGTTGTTGTGACGCCTGCCACGCACATCAACATGACACAATCCTGGCAAACCAACAAACACCAACACTACGACTGTCGACACTAATGGTGAGGACCGGTTTATACAAATCCTAATTGAGACTGCGCATTCACCTCGCACATGGGCCTGGTCGGTCACTTGCGAATCTATCGCCCAGAGACTGGCGAACCCGTGCCTGGAGCACAAACTTACTCACGCCGCATTCGCCACCACTGACCACACTGCGCCAGGACACCTATGCACCGCATTGGCCTATTCGGCCACATGCGTACCCACTAGAGCGGAATTGACCGTAGTCCTGGCTCACCCAGCACACCCACTATGTCTAGCCTCGCAGACCAGCACGCCCACCGCCACCAACTCCACCACAGTCAGTAGGCGTTGCACACTCGTTATGCTCAGCCCAATACACACCCCATCGCTCAGCGCGCCCACCGCCACCATCAAAGCTGACACTGACACCGCAGTCTTCTCATGTCCATACTGTCTGCGCACATTCACCTCACGCATTGACCTGATCAGTCACTTGCAAATCCATCGCACTGAGCCTGGCGAACCAGTGCCTGGCGCACCAACCTACACTCGCAGCATCCACCTTCACTGCCCACGCTGCAGTCGCACATTTATTCCCCGCAGGGTTTCTCGTAGGTCGCATGTGCGCCCAGAAAAACCTGCGGTAGACCAACCTCGGCTGAATCACACCATCACATCCTTCACCAACAGCACCTTACCGCACATCAATATCATCCGCCTCAAACACCCAAATGTCATCTCCCACGCAAGTGGAAAGCATGAGTGTTGGCTGCTTCTGTATGCGGCTTCCCAGTTGCATGCGTGATCGGAGTCTGAGACTGCCATGATACGCCTAGCGCCGTGGCTCGGAAGGGAGTAGACTGACGCTCCAACTTAGTCCACGCAGCCCGTCCAGCTGTGTATACGTTTGTGTATGATGACGAACTGTTTGTGTGGAGGGTTTTTGTACCATATGGATAGTGCCACTCAGACAACGACTCCGGCGAATAGTGATTGGTTACCTGATATTGATGGATGACGGCCCAGGCTATACGATGGACTACGTGTCACCCTTCTAGGTAAAAATGTCGTGCAAGCGCCGTAGTGTGTCAGCACATAGTAATTTAAAGCTGACGTTATGTTCAATCTTTTCAACGTAATTTATGATAACATGTTCATGCCAATTAGGTTTTAGCCAAAGGGTGTCCAAAGAGGCTGCCTTTCATTTAGAATAGGCAGAATGCAAGTTATAAAATATGATTATTAGAAGGATATTTGTAATAAGAACACATTGCCGAATATATGTTAATATGAATATCAGTGTACTCAATTGCAAAGGTAGAATTTACCAGATGAAATAAACCGTCTCTTATGCCAAGTGACTCTCACTTAGAACGAGTATACAGTCATGCACAATACAACCAGATATGCCTTACAGATGAAAATGTGCATCGGAAGCCGTTTAAAAGTGTCAATCTTTTATGATTACTGGAGTATCGTATGTCTACCACCTGCGTTCGCATAATGGTTGAAATTGACGCCTACGTTGCAAAAACGTGATATATACCTAGACGTTATCTTAAATGTAGTAGATTTTCAGTCAAACCATGTGTAATATGGCATTACCGACAACGACTAGGGAGACTGGATTGGTTACTTCTGGCTTGTTAGCCGTCGTCAGCCAGTCATACCCAAACCCGAAGTGTGTAAAACCCGAGGCTCGAACTCGCGACCTGTAAGTTAGAAGTCCACGCCTCTAACCACTGCTCCACGAGCCCGTTGTCCTGTCGGTTTCGATCGGGAATATACAATGTTAGGGGGCACTCACCGATCGTTCCTACGGAACTCACTCGTTTCGTTGTGCCTCACGGACTCTCTCTCGAGCCCAACCAGCAGCCGCACAGCGGCGCATGATATAGGCAGTATGGCATTACCGAAACCATGTGTGTTGTTTAATTGATTTCAAGCTGAGATGTCGTATTTAATATTCTGTTGTCAGGTGTCATGCATTAAGTAACGTACTCCATAGTTTCCTTATATACAACGTGCAGTATTCGACATTATGTCACATGTGACCATTGTCATACTAAATGCAAACACTTTCTAAGTGTGATGTGGAATTTTTATTTGTCATACCTTGATACAATCATCGTCACTTCATTGTGAATGGTCAGATTTGAAGTAATTTTTCCCTTTGTCGCCGTGTCCATTGTTGCCGGAATATTTGGCAAAAGTAATGTACATTTATTATGGTGTTGCGTCTGTGTATGCCTGTGGATGTTAGTTAATGCAAAACAAGCATTTTTCATAGAGCCCCATAATAAATGTCACTATGCATTTCGATCTGGATGCTTCCCTTTGAGGGTTGAACTAATCATTCGCATATGAGGGTCTTTGAAAAAGCGTACTTTTAGCCATCAATTCAAAAAAGACAGTCATGAGATTACGTAGCAATAGGTGGGTTTGAATTCATCCTTTTGTTAGATACCTCGCAATAGAATTATGCAAAATCATACCAATAAGTGACGCAGTTATCTTTGAAAATTCGTTTTGAAAACTTTTCGATTCCTAGTAATGTTTATCGAAGACATCCTATAGTGCTTTACTAATATAATAAACAATGTATTTTAATATTAAGATCAAAACTATTCACCACCGGTTTTGGACTTCAGAATCAAATAGGTGCTCAAGTTTGTACATAGTGGGTGCTTGTTTAAATGTTAACGGCTATCCCAAACTCGATTTTGTTAATTTGTGCTGGAGTGCAGCAGTACAGAATAAGATCGTATTTTGGCATACTTAACAGTATGGACAATAACCTACGTGGGCATAAGAAACTCACTTATATTTCAACATTTTGTTTTACTAACTCAACCAACCATTATGAAATAGAGCACGAAACATCAAAAATGACAACAGACAATACAACTTGTTTGTGTCCAAACATGTTATACAGAAATTAGATGGGATCCGTTTGACAAGCATAAGATTCAGCCTTGGAAAACACTGGCCACAGAATTGCCAGAAATCGTCTGTCTTTGTATGCTGGTTGCAGATTAGTGTAGGAAACAAATTTGCAATCCGGAAAATAGTGCAACTCCTTGTAGGACATCCTTACAAGTTTAATCAGCCGCACATATTCGGAACCGCCGCCAA